TGAAAGGCTGCCGGTGGGCAGAGAGCCACGGCAGCCTGACTGCGGGGGTTTCTCGCCGTGTGTGTGTGTGTGTGTGTGTGTGTGTGTGTGTGTGTGTGCGTGCTGTGTCCGGCTCTGGGCGGTCAGGAAGCGCCGCTGCGTCCTGGGAACGCTTCCCTGCCTCTGTGGTGGATGGGCAGTTATTCGGGGTCGGGATGTGGATGAAAGGCTGCCGGTGGGCAGAGAGCCACGGCAGGCACAGTCCGCCAGCACGATGCTGAGCCATACCCAGCGGTGCCCCGGACAGCGGAGTAGAGCCGAGGACGCTCACCTGCGGCCGCCCTGCCGTCCCTGCCTGCTCGCCGCTTTGAGTTGCATTTCCCCCAACCGACTGGTTCTTCCAAAGCCCGTGTTCCCGCCGCCCTGCTGACATTTTACTGTAGACAAAAGTGGCTGGTACATTGCTCCCGCTCGTCCCTCTGCTCCTGCACCTGAGCGCTGAGGAGCGGCCGGAGCATGAGAGCGTGTGGAGTGGCCGCCGCGGGGCCAGGAGAGGGGTGGTGATGGTGATGACGCTGGGGTAACGGTGTCCGTCGTGACTACAGTTAGATGGAAGGCGGAGCCTGGGCGACCCCTGCGTGAGCCCTGCCGGCTGCTGCACCCTGGAGTGATTTCTAATGTCTCCGAGCACCCAGTTTGTGCCAGAGGCTGCGGGAAGGGCCTGGCTGAGCAGTGATGCCAGCTCTCAGGAAGCTCGGAATGTGCTGGGGGTGGGAGACGAGCCCTGGAGGCAGGCACTTCACGGAGGGCTGCGGGCGGGCGGCCGAGAGGCCCGGAGCAGTGCTGCTGAGATGTTGAGGACATCTCAGGAGAGGGGTCGTCTGGCTGGTGCTGAAGCAGCGGTAGGCAGAGGCCTGGCACCAAGGGAAAGCGGCTCTCACCGGGGCCTGCTCTTCACGTGACGTGGCTGGAGGGCGGGGATCTCGTGGGCGGTGGTCTGGAGGCCGGGGGACACAGGGGAGCCCGGGGGTTAGCCTTCAGGGGAGCCGCGCGAGGGTGTTATGTATTTGTTTGGTGGGTTGGTTTGCTCTACCATGTGACAGTTTTTAAGTATAACTCAGTGGCAGTAAGTACATTCACAGTGTTGTCAACTGAAACTACTAATCATTTCCAGAACTTCATTACCCCAGACAGAATCACTGCAATTATCAAATAAGAACTCCCATTTCCTCTTTCTCTGGCCCCTGGTAAACTCTGTTCTACTTTCTGTCTCAATGAATTTATATTTTCTAAGTCCTTTGTATTAGTGGAATCCCGACAAGATCTGCATGACTTATTTCACTTAGCATAATACATTTGAAGTTTGTTCAGTGGTAGCATACATCTGAATATCATTTTTTAAGGCTGAGTAGTATTCCTCTGTAGGAATTCCCCACCTTTTGCCACCTGCTCACCGGGGGATGGATGCTTGGGCTGTTTCCAGCTTTGGTTAGTGTGAGTCATGCTGCTGTGAACAGAGGTGTGCCAACAAGGTTTCCTGGGTAGTGGGAGACTGTCTTAGCACTGTCCTTCAGGGAGGCTTCAGTCAGAGCTGGGAGCAAGATGAATTTAAGTGGGGCACCCCAAAGGCAGAGAGAACAATGAGGAGACAGTAAGCAGCAAATTAGGGGGTGAGCGAGAAGCACCGGGACCCATACCGAGGACCTGCTGACAGCCACAAGCCATGTAATTGCAGCCCAGTTTTGTCCCGTCTTCCTGGGATCCAAACCCTCCGTACAAAGAGAAGCGTCAGAGTTTGCACCTAGCTGATGTGAGCCAGCCTGCCCCTGACCTCTCTGCTGTAGTCAGGAGTCTTGAAACACCTGCAGGCAGCTTCTGTATCTGGGCTTTGCTCCCATCTTCCTCTTTGCCTGCCTTTCTCGCCCCAGGAGCCCTTCTGGGCCCCTCCCGGCACCAGATACTCTCGGCATGGCTTACTCTGCACTTCTCTGCACAGCACCATCATCATGCCCCTCCCCAAAAAATGTCCATCCCCCCAGTAAATATCAGTCTCCCTTGGGAGAGCTTCAAGGCAGCTCTTTCAAGACTGGAAGCTCCAAAGAGGAGAGGGAGGGCGAGTCTTGCTCTCTGTGGTTCCCGGCACCCAGCCTGTCTTTCGGCTGTTGCTCCTGGTGAGCGTCTGGTGGTGGGTGGGCACGACTGGGTCTGGGGGCGCTGGCGGGCCCGTGGCGAAGCCCACGCTCCCCTCTCCTTGTTTCGCGTGCTTTGACTCGGGTTTTCTGCAATCTGCCTCTCTGTGGGTCTTCGTGCACAGATCTTTCGACTCCTGGCAGAATGAAGAGCTTCCCGGGGGCTTTCCAAGGCCCCTTAGAGAGCAGATGCTCCCTGGGGCCCAGGAGACACCAAACGATGCTCCAGGAGGCCCAGGGGGCAGTTTTCTTTTTGAAAAACCTGCAGTTTTGTTGGGGGGCATTTCAAACATGAATCTGCTTTAACACATGGTGGTGTGCATAAAAATAAACCCTCCGTCTGCTGCAGTCAGTCAGCGTGTCCGCTGGCCTGTGGACACTCTGGAATCAAGAGAACTGAAAGACAACAACGTATCTGCAGATCTTGAACGTGATCTTTACTAACAGATGTTTGGGGCAAGAATGTGAGTTGCTGGTATATTCTTGGGTACAATCTTGAGTCTTTTTGCAAATCTTGGGACCAGAACCGTTGAAATGTCGGATGAGACAAACTCTTGCCTTAATTAATAGCTTGTGTGTGTGTGCTTAGCATGTGTGGAGTCAACACACTTCAGACACTAGTTCCCGGGTCCCTCAGCAGTGATGGCGCGGGGTTTCCATTCTCAGTATAGAGATAAGAAACCAAAGGACCGGAGCGCTTTCGCCACCTGCAAAAGGACACAGAGCAGAGGGCTGCGGAGAGGTGCCAGCCTACGCCACAGCCTGTTTTCCCATGCCGGGAGCTGCAGCCCTTGCTACCTGCTGCTGTGCCTGCTGTGAGGCTGGGTGCGGGGGTCTGCCCCCTCCATACTCCCAGCGCTCGGGGCTTCTCAGTGCTTGCCTGATGCGTCCTGATGCACCGGTGCAGAGGCCCTAGCGCCGCAGTGAGCCCATCAGACCAATGGAGGACACAGCGGTTGGGGCCCAGAGCGTTTCTCCTCTCACTGCACGTGTATCGTATGGGACACTCTCTTCCCGCCTCTTACTCCAAGTCAACCTGGCTCCCGTAGGCTTCGACGTGTCTGTAAATATTTGACAGCAACGGGTGATCTTAAAAAATCTATTCCTGATGGGAATTTGCTTGTTATTTCATGGACTTTTTCAGTTCATTTCAGAAAAATGCCTTTGTTTATAGGGTGTTCAATTTCGCCGCGTGGATCAGGTTCACGCCATACCCATGGACATGGTATTTTTGTCTCCTGCAGCCTTTCATGGAAGTGCGAACTTCCTCACGCTTGTGCACTGGCGAGGCAGGCCCACATTGGCCAGACTCTGTCTGGCGCCTGTTCTCGGCCGTCCTCACCTATCCATGCTGGCGCAGGGGAGAGTTGGTCCAGAACTGGCTGAGTATTCTTTACCACTGCTAATGATTTGTTGGTCTGGTTGGATTTTCCATGAAGCTTTCTCATCATCTGTGAGTAGTGACAGGCTTATTTCTGGGCGGGCCTGTTGGAGCAAAACGCTCAGTCACCCTACCCCACGTGACAGTGAAGGAGCGTTGCTAATCAGGTGTCTTTCTGTGTGCGTTCCCGGAGGGGAGAAGGCCAGGCTTCTGTGAGCTCAAGGCCTGGGTTCTTGGACGTCTTTCTCTGCCACTGTAGGACCTGTGCAGAGCTGAACCTGGTTGGCTGGGGGCCCAGACAGCAGGAAGGGGCCAGAACAGGGGGCAGCCCCATGACTTGGGGTCTTCAGGGAGGGGCACCCCATCCCTGCAGAGGGCCTATGTTTGAGTCACTTGGCCCCTTTTTTGACCTGATTGTGCCTGGGTTATGGTTCTAGTCATGACATGCGCCTTGTTACTTGCACAAGGCCAGAGTGAAGTCCCCTGTCTCACTGAGGTCCGCCCTTTTCATTCTGCTTTATCCTTGTTTCCAAGACAAATTTGTTTTCTGATCGTTATATTTCAAGCAATAGATTTCCCCTTGCTGTCACCTCAGCTACACCACAGACACAGCAATGAGTCATTTAAAAAGTATTTTTATTATTTCCTTAACTCAAAGATTTTTTTTTTTGGGGGGGGGGATAAATTTTAAAGTCATAGAATTTTTGCCCACCTTTTGCAAATTGATTTCCAGTTTTATTGCATTGTAATCACAGAGCGTGAACTGGAAGATGCTGACTCCTTGAAGTGTATTAAGGCTTTCCTCTGTCACCTGATGGAGTCTCCATTTGCTCGAGAAAAGTGGTTTAGTGTTACCAAAATCTTCTGCCTACCTATCTATTTACCAATTTACTTATCTTGGTTTCCTCTATCAGTTACTAAGTTTTATATTAAAATCTCCAAGTAAAATGAGCGATATATCTGTCTCTGTAATAGTTGCTTAACACACCTTGGCACTGAAGTTCAGTCATGGTATCTGTTTACTATACTGTTCCTTTGACAACATCTCTTTTTGCCCTAAGGTCATTTATTTTCACCTTAAATTCCATTTAGCTCAAAATTCAACCATTTTCCAGGAAAAAAAATGCCGTCTTTTATTTTCAAATCCTACAATGTGACAATATGATGGGGGGTGGATTTTAAAAATCCATTCTCTGTACAACAACCAGTGTGATCTTTAAGGCTCAGAATGGGGTGCTCCCTCCCCTCTGCTGAGAGCCTCCCCGTTTCTGAGAAGAGACCCCAAGCCTTCTCCTCCCGGGCGGGGTCTCACAGGACCTGCTGCCGCCCAGCCTGGGTGCACCCCGCCTCGCCTGGGGTCCTTCAGCCAAAGGCTTCGCGCCTGCTGACCTTGCTGCCTCCGAGTTCTTCCTAGCTCTTTCTGTGCTGTTTGCTGCTCTCCTTTGGGCCAAACCGCCACTGAGAGGTCTCCTGACTGCTGCCTCCTACTCTGTTTCAGTCCCAGATGGTTTCCTTTCACTTGGGAGCAGCTCCGTGGCTGCGGACCCCACTGGTTCTCATGGGTACACTCCTGTCTCCCAGAGCAGAGTCTGGGGTTGATGTGGGTCCCCGAAAGATGTCCCTGGGGAGTGGAGAGCTCGGGCAGGACCAGCACGAGGCAGGGATGCGGAGGTGAGACAGAGCCTGGCCCAACGGTCTCTAAGAAGCCGACCTCTCCGCGGACTCCCACGTTCGCCTCCACGTTGAACACGGCTCCATCCAAAGTCACAAACTGCTAGCCAGGCACTCCCTCCTGGGGCTCCTGACCCCCCGTCCCTTCACGGGCAAGTGTATTTGAAGATTCAAAACCGACAGAAGTTTCTGAATGACCCTCCCCGCCTCAGTCAGCGCTCTCCACATTCTAACAGTTAAATATTTATTAGGTTATTTCAATCAGGAATAAATACATGATTTAGCGAAGTGTAATGTTTCCCACTTAACCGCCTCCGCTCCGGGCTCCCCAGATGTCCAGGTGTCAGTGACCTCTGGAGCGGCGAGGTGGCCCTGCCCACTAGGGAGTCACAGTCCCGGCGTCACATTCGTCTCCCAGACGCTGGCGGGTTCCTCTGGGACAGTCTAGGAAGCCGCTCGAGGCCTCTGCTCAAATGCACGGACCGGGCCGTGCGGCGGTCATGCGTGTCCAGGCCCGCTGGCGCGCTGAGGGCAGCTGGGGGCGTGCCCTCGACCACCGCCCCGCAGGGGAGCCAGGCCGCAGCCCCCTGGAGCAGGCAGGCCCTGCCGCAAACCCCTCCTCCCACTCTGGTCTCCGCGTCTTTCATCCTAAAATCACGTG